TACAAAGTGAGCTCAGGGCCATCCTGAACTGCATAGCAAAACCCTGTCTTACTTAAAAAAAAAAAAAAAAAAAAAAAAAAATCACAGGCCTTTCCAAACACTTGATAATTCAGCGGGCGTCCATTTGAAGTTTGTCTTTCCCTTCCGATAGCAAAGGAATAGGAGACGAGGTTCTTGTAGGTCATCCCAGCAATGCAGAAATGAGATCAATTTATTTTGACAACTAACCCGACAGGGATGGATATGTTTGTGCAATGTCAAGCAGTTTTATTTTATTAATATGTTTTAGTGCTGCACTGAAGATTCCATTTCACTCTTTTTAAACATCTCACAGGCATAGTGCAGGCATTTGGGGGAAATTCTCAGATAAATGTTCTGTAATGTAATCTTATATGATTATTTCCTACAATCTCTAATTAAATTATTTGATTTCATTTTTGTTGCAGACTTTTATTTCTTTTAAGATCTCATTTTCCTTGAGAATGAATGATGAGATATTTTTCACTGAAACATACTGTTTTGGAATTTAAAGAAGTTTTGAAAATACTATCATAATTCCAAAATGGTACTGGTAGAGAAGGTTCCACAATCCCTTTGCATTAAAGAGGCACAGGGGGCCAGGGATACAGCTCAATGGCATAAGCACCTGGCTAGCAAGTACAAGGTCCCGAGTTTGATTTTTGGTACCAAAAAATAAAATAAAAATAAGAGGCATAGGATTCTGACTGGCATGGAACCCAAGTTGGCTCAAATCATGCATCATCTGTGCAAGTTTCTTTGAAATGAGCTTTGCCTACATGGTGGGGCCTGGGTATGGATTTGTGACAGTCATGAAATGATTATTTAGAGATGAATGAGCTTCTAGGGACAATGGTTGCAAAACATGTGGATTCAGGTCTCTATAGGGGGGGAAAAAAGCCCACCCTCCTTTGTTTGGCTCTAGAATGTACTAGTTGCGGTGCTGGGGTGACTGATTTGATGTTTATGGAAACCTCTGAGTCTCAGAGCCCAGTGGGGAAGCATTTCATGCTCTAATAGTGATGTCTGCTGTGGGTGTGGAGGGGTATCATGTGTGCTGTGAGTTTGCTATCCTGGAATGAACTTTCCTATGTTTTTCTCTCAAATCACTATCCTTGCTTCATCTCTCTTTTCCTGTGCTTCCTCTATCCATTGGTACTATTTGTTTCTTCAAGTGAAATTGCACACAGAAGCTAAACACAAGTTGCAAAAACTAAGTTACTCTGATGATGTAAATGGGAGGGCCTCTGGCATGTAGTCTGTCCCCAAGGGCCTTGGAATCTGTGGATCTGGAAGGCAGCCACAGCCCACTTCCAGCTCTTCCCTGGACAGGCTCCACACTTCCTGTGCTTTGTTTTGCTTCTTTCTATTCCCTTTGCCTGGATTGACATCCTGCATTATCCTCTAAGATCTCTGGGGTCCCCGTGCCCCCAAACTCTTCCAATTGCCTTCCACCTGGATGCATTCTCACTGACCATCATAGCATTTCTCTAGCTTTTCTCATGACTCTTAGGGTCACTCATTTAAGTTCAGTTTACCCAGATACACAACAGAAGCTTCTGAGTGGGTCTTCTGGAATGAGTAATTTCAGGTCTATCCAGTTAATTCTAGTGAAAACAATAGTACTTTTCCATATGGATTTTTTTCGGCGTTGCAAACTTTTTTGTAGTTTTCTGGTAGTCTCGCAGCTACTCATAACTTATCTGATGTTTTTGTTCTTGTAAAATTGGGGCAGTAGTATTATTGGCTCTAGGGTATCTGTCATGAGTGGATTTAATTTATGCAGTGCTTACTATGGTACCTGGCACACAGTATGGTAGTTACTGGTATTATTGTAATTTTTGTGACTTCATCAAGTCAACACCTCTACGCCTTCACTTCATGTCCAGGCTCCTGCCTGAGGGAAGGCCTACATTTGCTTTTTACCTGGATGCACAAAGAATTGAAACTTTTGACTCTTGGCTTGGGTACTGGTTGTGTAATGGTTGGTTGATTGATTGTATCAGTCTGAGAAATTTAGAAGCTTAAATAAGTTGGCTCAGCAATTCGGCACCCTAGGGTGTAGAGGACCTGCCCTAGAGCAGCTTGCTGCCTAGATGGTATAAAAGAGAAACAAGGAAGGACTGACTGGCTTTTTTTCTTTGGAGGAGCTCCAGTCTTCGCTTCAGGGTGGACATCATCTCCAGGCTTTTAGTGCAAACTTTTCGTCTTCCACCTTGGATTCTAAACCTTCTAGCATAGACTCTTTAGTCTTCTGGCATAGACCTATTAGGCTCCTGTAACAGGACACTGCAGTGAGCTTTGGACTTTGGACTGAAACCTTCAGCTTCCAGTGTGCAGATACCATGTTCAAGCTTCCTTATCCAACTTTCTGGCTGATCATCATAAGACAGTCTTGTAATTTCTTATGCATTTGTGTATCTAATCTGTTTCTCTAATAAAACATTGACTAATATAGGTTGTATGAAGTGAGAATCAGTCATAGTCTTGTTCACAATCTTGAACATTCATAATTTTTGCACCTGCATGGAGAAGCTTAAATTCAACCAGCAAACTCCATACATTTCTGCCCCAGCCTGAGAAAGAGCTCAATGTTAACAGCCTTATGAAGGCCTCCTTTCCAAGTTTAAAGACTTCATTCAGGATCAGGTTACTCTGGGGAGTGAGCGAGCCGTCTTCTAAAAGGCAGGAGAAAGACATGTCAGCTATAGTCTGGATTCTCCTGGGGCATCTTGCATGTTCCCAGTGTGTAACTGAAACCCAAGGAGCAAAGGGAATTCTTTTCTAAAGCCACCAAGGATCATTCAGGAATTTCCTGTATGAAGGGGAAAGGTTAGGATGCCAAGGCCTTGGCTGGAATCATTAAGTGAATTTACAACCTGCAGAAGAAACATCCACAGAGATAGAGGTCTTTTTGAGACAGGGTCTCACTATGCAGTTCAAGCTGAACTTGAGCTCACTTTGTAGCCCAGACTGGTCTTGAACTTGCAACATACTCCTGCCTCAGCCTCCCGAATGCTAGAACTAATGGTATGTACCCCTATGCCTGGCTCAGTGGCTGATTCTTTAGCCTGGACTTGATGGTTAATTTCATCCATAAACTTGGCTAGGCCATGGTGTCTAGCTGTTTGGTTAGATCCTCGTCTGAAGGTATTTTTTTAGATGAATGAACATTTAATCACTAGATTTCTGAGTGGTGTACACTACCCTCTATTCTGACAGTGGGATTTATCCAATCATTTAAAAGAGTTAAAGCAAAACTTTGTTACTCTTTTTTTAACCATGCCTAGACTGTATTCTTTCATGTCAGTGAACAATATGCACACTTATCTCTAGTTTCTCTGTTATGTACAGCCAAATTTAATCTTGTCTGATACTGGTCCAAAGGAGACTCCACACATACTGAACAGTCCTGAGAAACTAGGTGGTGACCCTAGATAGCAGATGGCAGATGCTATTTAAGAGAAGCTTCTATAATGGCCTATTTAAAATATCAGCATCTAGAATCAGGCATGGTGGCGCATGTCTGTAATCCCAGCGCTCAGGAGGCTAAGCCAGGAGGATTGCTACAAATTCAAGGCCAGCCTGGGCTACAAAGTGAATCCAAGGCCTGCTTGAACTGCATAGTGAAACTCTGTCTCAAAAAGACAACAAAAAACCAAACCAAAACAAAACAAACCCCACAGCATCTATGCACATACCTAAAATTCTGGTTGTAAACTGTCCATATATCCATGGAAAAGCTGTATCATCTTTCAGCACTATATCTTCCCACTGAGGATAGCTGGTGGGTAGGTAAAGTTGGATCATGAGTTTTAAAAGGTATCAGATACCAAAAGTCATGTCTCTAAAATAAAAACTGCCAAAGACAGAACTTTAGCAATCCTTCCCTTGATTTTGGTGGATTACTTCTCAGCATAGCGCTATAGGCAACCTTCACTGCTGTATTAAAACTGGCCCCAAAACACTAGAGTCAGCCATACCCAGGCTAGAATCCATCACTTTGGAACAGTGGGATCTTAGAATTATTTAACCCTTCTAAGCCTTAGTTTTCTAAGGTTGATTGATACATAGATTTAATAATATGAAGTACTTAGAATAGTTCCTAGTACATGAGCCACACAGAAAATGAGAATTATCACAAGCTTTGATCTCTGTAAGAGTACATGTAATTCAAAGAGCCTCCAGAGATCACCTATATCTCCTATATACTTCTTGCTTTTTTTTTTTTTTTTTTTTTTTTTTTTTGTGGTACTGGGGATTGAACTCATGACCTCGTGCTTGCCAGGCAGGCACTTATGCCACTGAGCTAAATCCCCAGCCCAATATGTCTTGCTTTTAATAGCTCATGTATTAAATAAGGTTGCATTAAAGATAGTCACTATTTTCTCCTGACTCTTAACTCCTATCAATGCCCTTCCCTTGTCCACCTACATGTCCAAATTCTCCAGTAATGTCTCCATAAACAAGTCCTTGCCTTATAGGTGAGAGTCACATATATCATTTTTACCTCTGGCTGCCTTCTGAGATGCACTGAGATTTCTCCTTTCAATTTTCCTTAAAACTTTTTAGTTATTTTTCAGTTTATAAAAAGATATATATCATATAAATCTTTTGGGATTTTATCAAATGTGTTGGTAAGATTCAGGTATATTGTTGCATGCCATTATACTTCAATTGTTTTGGTTTCTGTACCATTCATTTGTCTAACAGTAGGCACCTGGGTAGTTTCTAGGTTTTTGCTATTATGAAAATGCTAGAAAAGTTTATTCTCGTTCATATTTTTTTTTCTACACCTCCCAACATCACACCCAGATATAAACCCATCAGTGAACTAATCTAATATCACACACCCATCACCCCATCACCTCCCAAAAGCCTCATGTATGAACACGTGTGGCTTTGGGGGACATTTTAGAAATAAACCATAACAATACCCTGGAAAGATTAAAATCATGAAAAACCAAATGAACAAACATCAGTCCTGGACAGCATTTCATTTTACTATACAAAATGTAGAAAGTCTTGATTATGAAAAAAATTTATCAGAACGACAACAATTTTCTTAGGAAGACATTTGTTGAAAGATACTTCTGCTCCAGTCATTGGCCATTTATCTTCTTAATAATCCTTGTCAAAGCTCCAGGGACATTATAACCCCTGATCTTTCCCATTCATCCCTGAGCTTTGCAGTCTAGATTTCGGTAGATTAGACAGTTCAGAATACAAAAAGTAAGAACAATACCCGTGAAAGCCAAGCTCAAAGACTAGTCCTTTTTTACTCAGGTACATTAGGAGTAGGAAAGATAAGAATTTCTGAAAGCATAACTTCTATTTACTTGGCTTTTTTGGTCTGCAGCTCCAGTGTAGAACCAAGTACTCCCCCACCTTTCTTCCACTCACAGATGTCTGTAAAGTTGCACGTACGACACTTCCAAGCCTCTTCCACATCAACCCCTTGAGGCTCTCGGTGGCCCATCCAATAGGCTATATAATGCTGTACCTTGTCTCTCACTGCCTTCTCCTCAAAGGCTACAATTTCTGTACCTAGCACAGTGGCAGTCTCTTGGTGGATATATTCAATCTTTAGGATATCAATAACTGGAAGGTCAGACAGTGTGAGAGACAAGAAGACCAGTTCTATGAGGTCACCCAAAGACTTCACAGAGAAGCCTTCCTGCTGGGCATGCCTCAGCACAGGAGGCCCCAGTGGTTTGTCTGGACACAATTTTGTATGGTGGATTAGGCTAGATGGGGTCACTTTCCCTTGCACCATGGCATCAAAGATATATTTGTATAAGCTTACTTGAAAACAGTCTTTCTTTTTCTGAGCATCCAGAGGAAGCAAAGGGCGCTTACGTGTCTTGAGTTCAGTCAGTTCCAGTTCTCCCTTGGTTGTATAGTGCAACTCATCAATCACACCAACAAGAAACACACCCTCCACTTCCCCAAACACTGGAAATTCTCTAATGCAGCCTTCTGATTGCAGGCTAGGAATCATTGTCAGTATATTTAGAAACTTAATTGCCCAAGCATCTTCTTTAGCAGTGATGGGGACAGTCACAAGGTCATGAAGTTCTAGTTCTCTAGCCAGATGGATGCTGGCACCAGTGTCCAAAACATCTGCCTTCTCAGGTGTCAAAAACCCAGGAAGCTCCTTCCCATATACCATTTGCAATTCACACCAGTTCTGAGTAGACAGATCAGTGACATTCAAATATTTTAGATGAAATCTTTCCATAGGTGACAAGACATCCAATCCTCTTTTCCAGTTTGGCAAGCACATAGGCTTGTCATCCTTCCCAGAGAGTTCAGAAGAAGGCCCAGGCTTGCTAAGTAAAGCACTTGATTCTTTGCCATCTTCCAGGTCCAAAATCTCTAGGAACTCTGAGTCACTCATGTCTGAGAACCCTGAGGCTTCTGCTGACACATTCTCTTCTTCCCCAGTCTCTGTCATCACACGGCTCTGGCTTAGGCAAGGAGGGCCCCGCATGACATATTAAAGAAATGCACTGTCCAGATAAAATACCCTCAAAATGTACTTTCTATTCTGAATGAGATAAAAAGAATCATGACAAATTAAATTCTTTAAAGAAGTCTATTTATGACTATTAGTAACGCCAAAGGTACACATTATAAGACTATTCCTTATGTCATCTGTATATGTTTGTGTGGCAGACTTTTCCCCTACCCCTCCAGTGTGGTGACTGCACCCAGGACATATGCTAGGCAAGCTCTTTCCCACTGAGCTATACCACTAGGCCTGGAGAATTCATTAAAACACTTTCATTCCTGGATCTGCCATTAACATATCATGTATGACTTTAAACAAATAACCTTGAGATTGCCTTTTTTGTTTCAAAAGTTTGACTTGGGGTATCATTTTATTGCTTTTAAGTGACTATAGATCTCCATAATTGTTGAAGCATGTCTGACAGTTTCCCATGGGCCACTTTTACAATTACTTTGATACACAGTCCTGGACCAGGAAAATAAATCTCAACAATAAAGACTATTCCTGAGAAAAATTTGGCCCACAATGACAATTTTTAAATGCAGTCTTCAGGAAGACAATAAGGCAAAATTCAAAGATCAACTATAGATAAACACAAACAAATCTACTCATATACAAATTAATGTAGGAAGTAACAAATGAGTTCATAGTGATGTAGAAATTAGTAGCTTTTCATACTTCAGATATACTAAGGACAGAGACAAGTTCGTAGGACAGGACAGGTTCTTGGTAGATCTTAACTTACCCTTACAGACTTTATAAATTGTCTTTATAAACACTATACAATTTGATGTTTTCCACTAAACTGGTGTTTCCCACTAACTTTATTTTCTCCCTCAACTACAGCTTAGCTTATAATGGAAAATATCTCTCTATATGCACTATTTTAAAAGCCTGAAACTTATTGCTATAAATAGTACTGAACATTTATTGTGCAGTTATTCTTAGTGATGGAAACTTAAAACAAAGAATCTACATGTTGCTATCTCATCACCCTAATGAGGAACAGGTACTTTTTTCTTTGTAAATTTTTACTATGAAAAATTTCCAACATACAGAGAAACCACAGAACAACACACATACATATAGATGCCATGCAGATTAACAACTGATTTTGTAATATTTTCTTCTTTGCATTTTTTTTGGCTAAAAGAGTATTATAACACTTTAAATCTAAACTCTTCAGCATCAATTCCCAAATGTTAGTCGCCTACATAACTGTAATAGTATTTAACAAAACTAATATTCCTAACACTACAGTCCATATCATATTACCCCAACTGTCCTAAACATGTTCTGGAGAGCTTTTCTTTATCCTAGGGAAAAAACAATGCTACGAGTTTTGCTTATATTCTATAAAGTTGCAACTTAACAGGATATTTCAACAGTAATAAAATACTGTATTGAAGACACATTTGCCTACATTTTTTGAGCTGTGAATGTTTTAAATTATGAGTTTCAAAATGAGTAACTTTATTTGGACTATGAAGTTCCTGAAAAATGGAGATGATGTCTACCCTCTATCAAGAAGTTCAAATAGTAATTAACATGTAAGCTCTGTGGTTTTTGTTGTTTTGTTTTGTTTTGTTTGGGAGGGGGCAGTATTAAGTCCATACAGATTAACCTTGAAAATACTGTATTTCAAATATCTAGATCTGGATCTCTAACATAGCAGCCACCAGCCACATGTGGTTACTTTAATTAAAATGAAATAAAATATAAAATTATTTTCTCAGTTGCACTAACCACATGGAGTCATTACTCAGTAGTTTCATCCTGCTTATGGATATCTTATAAGCCCCAGGTATAGCGTATTACCCTAGTCACTGAAAAGCCTACTGGACCAGCACTGACTTCACTATTTCATTGCACACATTTACATTCCAGAGAAAGAGTAAACTAGAAAAATGAGGACTCTCCACTTGTTTTGTGTACAACATTGAAAACAGGAAAGTTCTACAAAGGTTAAGTGAACCATCTTATGGAGAAGGTGCACAGGGCAAGGCCATTCGCTGTGACATTATTCATCTGTTAGAAAACATACATGAAGAATGGACAGTCTGGACTCAGATGATTTTACGTGATGCATGAACTAATATTCTTAGATAAACTTTCCAGTAACTATAGTTATAAGGTATCTCTCAAATGCTGAACTTAATAGATACTGCTCCTTAAGATATTTGACTTTTTTGAAAAAGTAAAAACAAATGAAAACAATATAGGCAGTCCATAGGTAGGGCAAAAATTGTTAGGTGGTAAGTCAGTGAGATGTTTGGAAAACACCAGCATACTGTAGTCTAAGATCCTACACCTGATCCTGAGTTAGGCTCAGCAGAATTCATGAGTATTCTACATGCTTTTTGAATAATCTTGGACAAGATTTTAACTTTTGAGGAGGTACTGACATATCTTTACAATGTAGTAGAGTGAACTGGGTACTCTTTCTAAGTCTAGTCAGTTACCCAACTGTTGAGTGATAAAACCACTCACCTGGGGCTTAGTTGATCACATTCTCACAGGGAATGGCAGAATACTAAGATGACAAAGTTAAGGGAGAAGAAAGAGGTTCTGATGATCACAAAGAACCCAGTTATCCACTTGAGACCCCGCTATAGTAAAACAGTGGCTTTGGTCCTTTCTCACTGGACCACTCCATTTTAATGTTGTATTTTGAACTCTGATGCACAGTGCATAGTTACCCACTACAGACACTAGATAACGCTACCTTCTCTCTTGAGGCACTTGCCCAAATTCTTCCTTTTTCCCACACCTTGGAAACAGTTAGTTGACCATATCCTGATTCCTGTAAAGAAAAGGGTTGAAAATTACCAAGTCCTCACAGGAACTCCGAGGTCGGATCCCTTTTCCAACTCCAGCCGCAGCCCAGAAGCTCCAGCCCACCTCTGGTCTTCTGTCTCGCTGAGGGGTTCCGTGCTGCCTGCAGACCTGCCACTTCCTCACTCTCCACGCAATTTGTGCGGTGCTGGCCAGACTCGCGGTCTCTACGGGTATTTGCTCTCCTGTGATTCCACGCCGGAGTCTGCCCTAAAGTGTACTAAACGGAATGAAAGTAAGAGACCAAGGCCTTGACAAAAACCCTTACCGAGCCGAGGATCTTCCAAACGATAAGGTCCGGAACCCAAGGGAAACTAACTGGCCTGCAAAGCAGACGATGGGACTTCAGCTGGGAAGCGGGACTGGAGGAAACCGAGAGGATGCACCCCGGGGCTCCGAAACGCACCGCTCAGCCCCTTTTCCCGTTCAACAGGCCTCCCCCAGCCTCGAGTGCTCTTCCAACGGCCTGACTCCCTTCTTGCTGGACAGAGAGCAGAAACAGAAGTTCCTTGGAGTCCGGTCTCGGCGCAAAATTGTCTGCGCCCAGCCCCAGCATGCTCCGCGGCTCTCGGGGGCCCGCCCCTTCCGGAGGCCTCCGCGGCGCGGCTCGGGCCGCGCCTGCCCTCGCTGGGGCGCGGGAGCCTGCGGCTGTCGCAACAGTGGGTTTCCACGAGCCCTCGGAGATCGGACAGACCTTCTAGTGTGGGGATATGTAAAGCTTAATTCCAGACGGAATATTGTCACCCGATCTAAAATCTCCCTCCCTATGGGAGTCTCTGGCTGCTGTCATCCCGGGCCTTTGCAAGTAAGCGCTGTGCCTTCTCTGTGCCATGCTTGGACTTCTTGCTCCTACTACCACCTTGCACCTTGTTTTTCCATATGAAAGAACAGCCACCAACTCATTTTTGAAAGGTGCTGGTACCAGCCTTATCAATGTATTTCTCTTATTTTGATCTTTTAAATCGTGAGATATAATAGTTATATTCTCGAATATGAAACAAAAGTAACTATAATTTTTCCACAGACACGTCATCCTTAGAGCAAACAGAACAGTGCCATACCTTTCCAGATGTGCCTTATAGGAGTGGTTCCTGTGAGAAAGGTTTGGGAAAAATTATACTGGGGAGGAGGTAGAAACATCCAGCTGGCATGGCCTACCAGTCAAGTAGTGTGACCAGGATCGAGCATTCTTTTTTTTTTACATGTTTGTCCTGTGTCTGCTCCATATCCAGGCAGCCTTCCTTCTCTTTTAACGCCAGTAGTTTCCAGGGTTGCTGCCTTCCAGATTTATATCCAATGGGAAAAAAGGAAATAATGTTTCTCTAATTGCTTAAAAGATACAGAAATGGCCCTGATTAGTGAAAAAGTTATGCACTTTTCTTAGCTATTCTAAGAAAAAAGAATTCTTAGCTATTCTAGAAAATAGAGCCAAAGCCGATGATTAAAGTGTTTTTTGTTTGTTTGTTTTTTTTTTTTTTTTTTTTTTTGTGGTACGAGGGATCGAACTCAGGACTTCACACTTGCTAGGCAGGCGCTTATGCTGCTGAGTTAAATCTCCAGCCCATGCTTTTTGTTTTTTAGCTTGGAAGACACAAACAAGAAAGTGAAAGTGAAGCAAGCAACAATGTGAAGCAAATCAGGGTAGTGTATTGTGTTGTTCATTGTCTTGCGTTGAGTCGCGAGTCTTCCACATTTTTTTGTTTGTGTACCAGGGATCAAACTCACAACCTTGTGCTTGTCAGGCAGGTGCTCACACTGCTGAGCTAAATCCCCACCCCTCTTCCACATTGATTTCATAGTAATTATCTAAAATTTATATCTCATGATTTACTTTCTGGCTTAAAATCCTATAAGGCCTTTATTTTAGCTTTATTTAATAAATTCAGTGATGAATTTAAGAGTTCAGCCAGGAGCAGTTCCAAAAGGCATAAATTTTAAGAAGTTTATGATGCACTATCCCCTGGTGACATATGGGAGGATGAATAGGTGCTATCTAAAAGAAATTGGGCAGAAGGGAAAATTACAGAGTTGATGGGGCTGGGGATTTAGCTCAGCAATATAAGCACCTGTCTTGCAAGCAGGCGGTCGTGAGTTCGATCCCCGGTACCAATAAAAATGAAAGACCAAAAAAAAAAAAAAAAAAATTTACAGTTAACCAAACCCCATGAAATAGTGTATAATACTGGGAGATGTTCATAAGACATGCCTGAGTGGGATTTAGGATCTTCTCTCAGAAAAATAAGCAATGCTACACACCAACTGTTCTGTATTTAAAAATATGACCTTCAAGTAAAAATAACACCATTGAGAGTTTTAAGCGGTATCTTAATTTCATCACTGGGGCCAAGTGCTCAGCACTTAGTTCGCAGTTATAGTCCCTGGCCACCTGGCTCCAAGGCAGGAAGAGCAGGTGGGTCTGGCAGAAGCAGCAAAGTGAAAAGGGAGGATCCAGGGAGGGAGACATACCCTCCCAGGTCACACTCTCAGAAACCTCCTGTACTTGCCCCCCTGCTTAACAGCACATTGAGCTCTGAACCAATGGTTTAATCATTTTCCAAAAGCCCCACCTCTGAATGAGTCCTTTAGGGGGACTCTGTAGCTCTAAACCATAACAAGCAGTAAAATAGTAAGATTAGATATTTAATTTAGAATAATCCATCCTACCAACAGTGGAAAGGATAGAATTAAGTACAGATTAGAAATCAAAAACTCAGGGCTGGGGATTTAGCTCAGCGGCATAAGCACCTGCCTTGCAAGCGTGTGGTCGTGAGTTCAATCCCCAGTACTGATAAAAACAAACCAACCAACAAACAAACAAAACCAAAAAGAAATCAAAAACTCAATTGGTAATCTATTTAAGCAGTTAGGATGTTGTAGGAATCTAAGGGTGGGTCTGGCTATGGAAATGGAGAGAGAGTAAGGTCTTGAGTATGTACGTGTTGACTGGGGGAGGAAATAGATGAGAGGGGTTTCAGTCAGGCAATTGGATCGATAGTAGTACAACTTTCTGAGTTAAGGAACACAGGTTTTATTGAAAAAGATTATAGTTTTTGACATGTTGAATTTTGAGGTGACTAATATCCAAGTGGCAATATCCACTGGGACGTTCAGTATGTTCTGGAAGATTTCTGAGATACATATGTAGATGTGTTGTGACATCAAACAAAATGTATAGCTAGAAAAGAGAATGTGATCAGCAGAAATGACTGGTAAGTAAACAGAATGAACAAACAGGTACTAGCAATAGGCCAAGCTAGTTCTGCAGCATTAACAGAAATTGCTCCTGCAGCAGCACAGTAGATGTTAGTAAATCCTCTTTTTAGAATGCCACATAGTGGCTATATTCAGCCAATTAAAGATGAATATAAAGCTGTGCTTGGAAAACTAGGCTGACAAATTTAGAGAAGCTCAAAAATGGACTCGGTTATGAGGATATGGACAATTTAAAGGGGTCTCCATTGCTTCAACTATAAAGTGAGAGGTTTAAATTAGGTGTTCTAGATTTTTTTCCAGTTCTAAAATCCTGATCCTTTGAACTGATAGGGAAGAATGGGTGAGTTTTGGAATTTTATGAACAATAATTCCTCCCGGAAACTGCATTTGTACCCTTCCAGCCACTACTCCAGCCACATGGTTCCCACACAAGTCGAGATCTCGGCTACAATTGATTTCTTTAGGGGTGGACACCTGACTTACCTTGGCCAGGTAAGAACCTTTCCCCAGGAATTTGAGATGAGTTGTGAGAAAGATGGCACATGTAAAATGGGGAGCTAACCATATCTGATTTGCATTGAGCTGTTATTTTAAAAAATGAGGCCTAGAATGAAGACAAAGCAGAGGTGAAGATGGAGAAATCTACATTTTCCAAAGTGCTTCAGGACCTGGCTCCAATCTTCTGGTGAGCATATATTACATCTCCTGAACTCAATGAATTACATCAAGATCCCTCTAATAACTCTTCCCTCTTCTGTGAGACTCAAAGTAGCCCCAGTTAAAAGTAACTCATTAATTTTTTGTGATTTGAAACCTAAAAGTACTAATGTAATGAACTTAGAGCTCATATGAGTAAAAGAAGATGAAATTGTAAGGTAGGGCTAGGTATAATGGAGGATTCTAAATCACGGTAGTTATGGGGAGCAAGCTGAAGATTCATTAACACTTTTGGAATCACTAAAATTTGGCATACATTTGTAATCCCAGCTACTCAGAAGGCTGGGGTGGAATTATAAATTTGGGATCAGGCTGAGCAATTTAGTGAGATCATGTCTTAGAAGGGCAGGGATACAACTAAGTAGTATGGTGATTGCCTAGTATGCACAAGATCTTGGGTTCAATCCAGGAAAACAAGTTATAAGACAGAAAAATTAAAAATTACTGTGGTCTTGACCCTGGTGCTCAGCTTTCACAGTAAGATCTATTAACTCATACTCATTGTCATGTCCCTCATCTCCATGCTGATTAATCATTCTGTAAAATACTATCTATGTATGATCAAGCAGTATCCTATGGTAAGCCTTCTCATTAAATCCCTGCCTCAAAGAGGTGGCAGTGAAGATCATATTCACTAAGGTAAGTGGATCAGCCTCACATCCATCAGACAGTCTCAGCCTCAAATGTCAAGAAGTGAAGCAACTGGTTTGGAAAAGTATCTCTTTCCCCAACTGAGACTTATTGGGCTCAACTACTCTTCAAGAAGATATCTCTGGCCAGGGATATAGCTCAGTGGCACAAGTGCCTGCCTGGCAAGTACGAGGCCCTGAATTCAGGTGTCAGTACAAAAACAATAACAAAAAAAGACAAGGTTTTTTTTCTACCTTCAAGGATGAGAGGCACTATTTCTGGAAAATGCAGCTCAGCTAGTACTTCTAGACTGTAGTGCTTAAGATGGGGTCTCTGATGGCTGACAGGGCTATTGGCCTGAGATGATTCAGTTCCTACAATTCTGTTATCTTGCTGGTGGAAATATAGATTAGTCCAAACCCTCTGAAGGTCAATTTATTAATATCATACAAATGCACATACATATTACTGCAGAAATTCCTATTCTGGGAATTAAAGCTATACTTGCATTTTTGAGAAATGAAAACATGTAAGTTATTGGTTGCAATATAGTATTTAAGAAAGTATAGATCCAAGTTAATTCAGTGACCTAGATAAAAACATCTATCCCGTGGAATGTGATGCAGCTATAAAGAATAGGCAAGTACTTTTATGTACTGAAGTAGAATGACCACAATAAAACTGATATGCAGATGTGTTAGTACAGGAGGCTGCTGTTTCTACTTAAGGCAAACTTGTGTATTATATTATTTTGGATGTAAGTAAAAAAAAAATCTAGAGAAGTACAAAAAGTTATTAAAAAAATGGATGCCTTTTAAGTAGAGGATTTTGTCCCTGGGAAACGAAGGAGGCTTTCTACCATATACAACTGACTGTGCCTCCTGAACTTCATACTGTCTATAGCTTTTTCCATTAGAAAAATAAAATTTGAATTTAAAATGTAGGGGTGGCAATAGTAGTTCCCAAACACTGATCTGTAAATCAGTGAATGCCTATGGGTATAATAAGCCACCACAAAATCAGAAAAAAATTATGTAGTGAATTTTCCATAATGATGAATTTAATTTGAAGGATCGGGTTTTATTATTTTTGCATATAAGTATCGGCAGACAGTTTATGAATGTAGTGTTTATTTATACAGTGGACAAAATTAAAAGCTGCCATCATATCACTTCCTCAAACCTGAAATTTCAAAGTTTTAGAATCACTGATTTCATTTTTTATAGTTTTGAAATGCATTCCTCCTGTGTATTTCATGGTGTCGGCTAAGTGATGAATTATAGCTGAAGGACTTTCCACATTCATTGCATTCATAAGGTTTTTCTCCAGTGTGATGTCTTTGATGTTTCTTAAAAGATGAATCATGCCTGTAAGCTTTTCCACAACGGTCGCATTCATAGGCTTTCACTCCTGTATGAACAGTTTTATGGTTGCTAAGGTGTATCCTCTGCCTAAAAGCTTTCCCACATTCCTTACATTTGTAGGGTCTCTCCCCAGTATGGATTCTTTGGTGGTGTGTTAGATATGCTCTATGACTAAAGGTTTTACAACATGCAGTGCATGCATAGGGCTTCTCCCCAGTATGAATTCTTATGTGTTCACTGAGGTGTCTAATCTGTCGGAAGGTTTTTCCACATTCACTGCAAGTAAAGGGTTTCTCTCCTGAATGAGTCCTCAAATGTTGGATCAAGCTTATGTTTTGACTGAAGGCCTTCTGACATTTATCGCATACATAAGGTTTTTCCCCAGTGTGAGTTCTGTGATGCTGATTAAGTGATGAGCGATGTCTGAAGGTTTTGCCACATTCCTCACATTCAAAGGGTTTCTCACCAGTATGGATTCTCTGGTGTGTGTTAAGAGATGCACTTTGACTAAAGGCTCTTCCACATTCCTTACATCTGAAAGGTTTCTCACCAGTATGAATTCTCATGTGTTCAGTAAGGTGAATGGGTTGTTTGAACATTTTTTCACATATATTACATTCATAGATTTTTGTTCTTATGCAATTCATTGGATTAATCAAGTCTAATTTGTATTTGTTCCTTTTTCTAGGAGTGTCATATTTATATTGCTTCTGTTCTAAAATAACACTTGAACTCACAGTATTTTCCCCAAATTTCTTAGCTTCTCTGCTTTTCTTTTTGTGGGTCAAAATGGCTTGTCTCACATCTGCCTGATAGGTTTCCTTGTGTCCATCTAAAGCATCGTATCTGGAGACTTTTCTCAGTGCAGAATAAATGATATCATTACTTATGAACCTTTCCATTATAATTCCGTGATATAACTGTTCCTGGGATATGTCACTCATTGAGGTTGACTTGCTGACTTCTGTTTTACTTTTCAAGTCTGAAAGAAATGAAAAAATGCAAGTAACTCATATTCATTATGCTTTAAAAAATCAGTTCTGTACTGGTAATAGAGATATAGGCAAATATATTTAAATATACAGCCAGGAAAAGTAATGAGAAATGAAATCAACAAACAGTGAACACAATAAAATCTATCTAGAGTCTTTAGTGCTGTTCTTTTAAAGAGGAAAAACAATAAAAACCAATAATTCAGAATTTCAAAACTATGAAATTAACAATGGTTAATAAATGATGTATTCTGATCTTCAAAGGACTTGTTCAGACTACAAACTATAGACATGTAAACTTTTAAAAAATGAACTAAAGTCAATATAACTGTCTATCTTTGGGATATTTTTTTCATTTCCCTTTCTTCTCTTCTCCTTTCACCCATCCCAGTTGTTCTTTCTCTTTGAGAGGTTTCCCTTTCACAATATATATTATTCATTTTGGATCTTATTTTTCCATTTCTTAAACTAGGGAGACAATACAATGTTTACGCATGTAAGTTTATTTCACTTGTGAGTATTGTCTCTAGTTGCGTCTACTAGCAGAGTAGTACTCTGGTATGTAATACCACATGTTTTCAATCTGTTCCTCAGTTATGGGCATTTTGGTTGTTTCCAAGATTTAGCTATTACAGATTGCACTGCAATAAGCATAACTGTATACATATTGCTGTGGTATGATGTTTTTAATTCTTCTGGGAAAATACCCAAAAAGGGAAAAGCTGGATCAAATGGGACCTCTAGTCCCAATTTTTTAGGACTCTCCATACTGATTTCCACAGTGGTTGTACTAGTGTATACTCCAACCAATAGTGGAAAAGGGTTCCTTTTTCTCCCACAACCCCTCTAGCATTTGCTATTGGCTGATTACTTGATTTTAGCCATTTTTTCTGGAGATGGTATCTTGGTGTTATAATTTGCATTTCTTGAATGACAGGTTTTCATATATTTATTTGCCATTTGTATTTCTTCATCTGAGAATTGTGTATTCATCTCAGATGCTCATTTTTAGACTGGGTCTTTGAATTTGGGGGGTCTGATTATTTTCAATTTTTTATATGTCCTAGATAGAAGTCCTTTGTCTGAAGGATACTTGGGTAAAATTTTTTCCCACTCTGTGAGTTTTCTTCCTACCTTGGTTAGTGATTTCTTTTGATGTACAAGAACTTTTTAATAGATGAGATCTTGGGTGTTGATTCTTTGAAGAACTTTCTGTACAGTTTTGTTTTTGTTAATGAACTCTGTCTACTATGTCTTCAAGATTTCTACCTACTTTCTCTTCAGTAGATTTAGTGCTTCTGGTTTAATATTTAGCTTTTTAATCCATTTTGACTTATTAGTACTATTCTGTCTACTATTACTAAATAATGAAATTTCAGTGCTATTTTTTAAAAAATATTGTTCAATTGACTATCACTTTGGGAAAACATCTTAGAAAAATGAGATGTTCCTCTCCTCATTCCAGCAGGAGCAGTATAGACATTAATTCAAAACACAGAGGTTGAACTAAGAACACTGACAAGAATAGTATTTTGTTCCTTCTTAAAATTTGTATTAAGTGTATGTGCATGTGGTTCTGCTTTACATAGTTATTAATATATCCATGAAATTTTATTTATTCAAAGGAAACATGAAACAAATCCAAACTGCTACATTAACACTACTGCAATGTTCGAGGAACATATACTTTACAATTCTGACTGGTTTTCTTACTTGATAATTTGTTGTACCATTACCAGTATTTCAGCTGACAGGTCTGCATTCATGTAAAAATATAACTTATGTTTTGATCAACTCAGAAGGTTCATTATCACTTTTGAATTCCAAACTCTAAATGAATAAAGGCAATAATAAAGTCCATGCTCTGTGGGCCCCTGATTCTGGTCATGAAGAGGGGAGGAGGGAAGGAAAACAACAGGGAAAGGGAAAGGCAGCAGCCTGTGCACCCTCCATAGTTCAGTACCCAACCCTAAGGAGGCCCAACCTGAGGGAGGAGGACGAAACAAGATTCCATGGGAGTGAAAATGGGAGTTGTTATTATTTCACTGAATTCAGTAATTATTTTCCTAAAATCAAGACTGCTCTTGTTTAAAAATAATGGGCCATCTATAAGACTTCTTTGACATTTCATCCAGAGGCTGGAAAAGAACTTTCAAGGTAGCTTTTGTTATTATTTTAGTTGGTTTTTTTGTGATGCTGGAGATCAAACTCAGGGTCTTACACATGCTAGGCAGATGCTCTACCACTGATCTACACCCTTAACCTCTGTTATATTCATTATTACAAACTGTAGAGGAGAAAACACAGGAGAATATACAATGACTAGAATTTATAACACAATAAAGCAAGATGGTTGCCTTTTTAAGATCAGTATTCAAAATCAATTATTACAAGCAACAAGCAAACAATTTTTTTTAAACTTTACTATCTATGATAGTAACAAAATATAGGATTTTTCAGGACAAATCTAGCAAAAGACATACAATATGTATGATATCTTTATGGAAAAAAATCCTGAAACTTTATTGAACAAAAATTAAACAAGTATTAAGTTCCTTAGTAATAATATCATAACAATGTTAACTGTCCTCAAAATTGATCTAGAAGTCAGGGATTTAGCTCAGTGGCGTAAGCACGTGCCTGGCAAGCAAAGTTGTGAGTTCAATCCCTGGTACCAAAAAAAAAAAAAAAAAAAAAAACAACCAACCAACCAACCAGACAAAAACCTGATCTAGAAATTTGATTCCATTCTAGCCAAAGTGTTAGCAGAGCACTTGTGTTCGTATGTGTGTAATTTGAATGCACTGTTTATATAATTCATATAGAAAAGGACAATGTAAAAGTTTCATTATGCAATATACTAATTAAGTCAGCCTACCATTAAAGTAGGAATAAAAAAATAAAAGAGTGAAATGAATTAGAAAGATCTGTGAAATAAACCCAAGCATATAAAGAAACTTGACAGGTGGAAGAGTAGTAACTATTCCTGGGAAAACTATCCATGTGGAAAAAGTTAAAACTAAGTTTTCACTTAATATTCTATATAAAATAAATTCCATGTGAATTAAACATGAAAAGTCAAACTTCAAAAATATAAGTACAGAGAGGAACATGTATGTTATCTATAGGCAAAATAAAAGATAACAGCATAAAGCACAAAAGAAAAAAACCTGATAAATTCAGCCCTATTAAATTTAAAACTTTTAAAAGCCTCTATTTTTATCTGGGAGACTGAAGCAGGAGATCACAAGGTTGAGGTCAGAAGATCACAAGATTGAGGTCAGCCTGTGTAACCTGGAAAGACCCTGTCTTAAAATAAAAAGGACTGGGAATGTGGTTAAATGTCACAGTGCTTGGCTCTCATGCATGATCCCTCAGTTCAGTCCCCAGTACCATAAAAAAGTAAAAGACAGACCACTGACGGAGAAAACATTCGCAAAACAAAGCTATCATGGATTAGTATCCAGAATGAGCATGCAATATATCAATATAATGAAAGAAAAATAATAGATTGGCAATGAATATATATAGATGGTTTACAGAGGAAGAATGCTGGGTAGGTGGTTGATAAACATGAGAAATGTTGCTTCTCACTAGCATCAGGAAAGTGAAAAAAATACCATATTTATTCGCTGAATTTATAAAAGTTTTAGTTTGACAATCCCATGTGTTGACCAAAATGCTAAATTTTGGGAGCTCTGCTACTGAACTGTCTTTATTTCAGTACTAGGGACTGAACCTAGGGCTTTGGAAATGCTGGACAAGAATTTGAACACTGAACTATATCCCCAGCCCTGAGTTCTAGCAACTCTCAAAACCTGCAGATAGGTATACAGATTGGTGAAGAGCAATTTGGAAATACCTAGGAAAATGAAGGCATGCAGCATGTTCCATGACTCTACAATTCTGCTTTTACCAACTCTCTTAGATACTTGCATATATATATCAGCATATATGTACATGAAGATTAACCACAGCATCTTTGTAATCCCAACATTTTGAAACAATGTGTTTATCTCACCCGAAAGATACAGATAAATAAATAGTAGTTTATTAGTTTAATGGAAATTAATGAATCAGAACATGGAGAATAAGTGTTGATTGTGAAAAGCAAGTAAAATAAATACATATACTATTTATTTAAAGACTAACATGTAAAAGAATGCTGTTGCTTAGCATTACATGTTGGCAGTGAAAGTATGAGACAAGTGGGAATGAAAACAGACTCAAAAAGAGTGGTTATTTTGAAAAGCAGGAGGGACCTGTTAATCACAAAATCTCAGGATACAGGAGCAGATCAGTTCCCAAAGCCCTACACATGGACTTCTCACCAGAACTCAAGCAGGTTTTCAGTCGGATGGCCTAGACCTGATGTCAGCCTGAGCAGCAGATGATATAAAAAGGACACTCCCCATTGAGCTCTTGCCACTCTGTTCTCTCTTGCATGGTGGCCCATTTTCACACTGTAGAGTATGCTTCTTTTCCTACTTTTACTTGGCCCAAACTTGCTCTGAAGAATCTGTCTCTTTTCCTACCTTTAATGAAACTTTGCTACTATTAACAAAAGAAAGTATTAGGGTCTTGGCCTGGCCCCAATCTCCTATATGAGCAGATGGCAAATGGTTTAATTTTAGGGCCCTGGGAGGATCAAAACCCTCTAGTGGGATTTGAGATTTCTTGGAGGTAGACACAAAGAACTCTGGTAGCCAGTATTTTTTAGGTTTTCAAACAAAGGAAGAGGATACTGAGGTAAGTGCTAGACTGAGCAAGGCTTAGGAGTCAATACAAAGACTTTCCCAAGTAGTAAATTCTGCCAATTAGAACCATCTTATCTCCAGGTAGACAGTTTCAGCAGGAGTGAAATGATTATTTAGTTAATTGGGTCACAGCTAGGTGTCCTTGCTGTGGCCTTGTCTTGGTCTTTAAAGCATCACTGCATCACAGACCATTACAGTCTCAGCCGGGACCAATGATTCACAGAGGTTCACTTACTATGAATTCACTGCCCTCTCCAGGCAAGGGCCGAGGCTTGGGACAGAATCATGAGTAAATATAGAAAGCCAGTTGATTAATTTTAAATTCTGCTCAGAGCTGCTAAATAGTGGTCTCCATCAAAAAAGATAGGAGGGGAACTGTGGAGCTTCAGCTGTTTTATTTCTTAATCCAGTTGAAAACTATACAAAGATGTGTTGTAGTGTCCTCTATGTCCTTCTGAATGTCTAAAATGTTTCATAATAACATCAAGGTTTAAGGGGATCGCTAAAAACTACTGAATTTCGTGAAAAGGGATTCTGTGTTAATTTCCTTTGTAGGAGTTTTCATGAAGTAGCTATTACAAATAGTAAGATACATGAGTTAAAAAGAATGAAAATTGGAGCTGAGATTCTAAAATAAAAGGTGATGGGAAAGTAAAGAAAAACTAAAAATTTGTAAAATGTAATGACAGCCTTGAAAAGAAGTCAGTTCTTTGTAAAAAGTCACATACAGCCAACTGTTTAGAGAAAGGAGCTTTAAATCAGCAGACCTTAGGACACTAAAGAAAGGCAAAATCAAATTGTACCTTAATAAGAATGAAACTCTTAACTCCAATTCCAGAGACTTTTTAAGAGGGCTCAGAGAGCAAAAAGGGTAACATAGGGAGGGTTAGTGCACACCCTAACTGGTGGCCCAAGTCTTTCCCACAACCTAAGTGGACCCTGAGCACTCTGGCCCACATACCAAATGCACCATCTGCCATAGTCTCACCTGCACTGGGATTCCCTAGATCTTCTTTTTCTGTCATCCATGGCTCTTCTCCTTTCTCCAGCTGTGAAATCACACTAGGTTTGGAGAACTGATATCCTGCTTATGGAGTCAAAGAAAAAAAACAGATGAATGTCTATGCTGATATCTAAGAAACATCTCCAGGATGTAGTTCCAGCTTCTGGTAGAAGCTCTGAAAATAGAATGGGGCGTGTCCTTTTAGCTCTATATGCCCAAGTTGTTCCTCAAGGATGGAGAATGAAATACCCTGGCTTTGTTTCCAAAGGAATAAGACATTTCTAATACAAGTAATTCACTATATCAATAATTTAGAAATTCTGACACTTGTAAATTCAAGTGCCAGAAAAAAAAAAAAAAAATTCAGGTGTCTAGACAGATGTATGGCCCATCCTTACCCACTGACACCAGGTTCCTGTAATTTTCCAGCATCACCTCCCGGTACAGATTCCGGTGAGCAGGAGCCAGCTGTCCCCATTCTTCCTGGGTGAAGTCCACAGATATGTCCTTGAAGTTCAACAGATTCTACAATATCAAACACATTCCCTTCTGACAGTATTCCACATTCCGAGAGATTTCAAACTAATTTTACCAAGAGTCTTGCATGTATCTGTCTAGATTCTCCAAAGAGGATTACATTAAACATAGAGGATAGACTTGACCTAGAAAAAATTAAGTAGTATAAAGGGAATAAGGAGAGACCTGGTGAGGGTCAGGATGGTCTCTTGTGCAGAGTCCTTGTGGACAGCCGCTCTAATAGGATGGTATCTAGCCAGAGACATAGATTCAATGAGGGACAGCAATGTAGACAAGCGTTCCAGGAAGATGCAAAGGACCTCAGGTAAGAACATCCTTGCTTCTCAACGAACAGAAAAGTGAACAGTAGGGGTGGAGCAGGTTAGGGAATGAGAGACTAGAGGATGAGGATGGGTGCTGAGAGGTGGCATGAGAGAAGAGATGCTTTTCCTTTTATTTCACAAGTATCTGTATATTCTGAGTTTGAATTCTGCAGCCCATCTGCAGTTTAACATAAATGAAACTGCACGGTAGCTTACTCCCTTTCTAGCTTAAATATTGAAAAAACAATAAAAATCAGCCTCCAGGTAGTGGTGGGAAGCACTAACAATTGGGCTAACGAGAAACAAACTCAAAACTAAGCTGCATCAGAGCCAGAGCTCTGCCACAGTACCAGGAGAAATATAATAAACTGCCCTTCATCTTATCTACCAGACAGAATGGCTTAGTGTCTTTTAGAAACAGAACAACAACAACAAAACTATACCTAAAACTATACGCACATTTAACGTATCATATGCCACTGTTTCTTTAATAGCTGAACTATAATAAAAATTAGAGCTGAGAAGAAAAATATGACCTAAAATCAAGAAAATAAAAAATACAAGCAGATGCAGATGGAATTAGAAGACAAGAACTTCAAAACGATATTTAAAACATATGTTAAAGAATTTCCAATAAAATATGAACAGAATAGATAAACTCATATAGTTAACTTAAGAAAAATATAAACACCTACAGGTGAAAAACATAAGACTTGAAAAGTCATTGAATGGCATAAAGAATTTAGACAAGAAAACAACATCAGTGAAACTTCTAATGGGTTAACAGATATTATTCAAACTAGCACAACAAGAGGAAAAAAAACCTCTCAGTTATTAGTAAGTAGTCTAATTTACATGTAATTAGAATCTCAGGAGGCAAGAAAATGGGCAGAAAAAATATTTAAATAATGGCTGAAATTTTTCCAAAAGGACAGACCACAAATCAGTTCACAGATCCAATCAGCTCAGCAAACTCCAAAAAGGATAAAGTGAAAAACAAAACAACAAAACCAACACCATCAGCTATGCACAGAACAGTAAAATGCTGAAAGCAAAGATAAGGGAAAAGATCATAAAAGTAGGCAGAAAAAGAGACAAAAATACAACAGAAAGTGGGCATGAAACAAAGACACGTTATATAAATGATAAGAACAGGTAAGCTCTCATCAGAAATAACACCAGCTAAAAGGTAACAGAAAATTTAAATGTTTGAGAGAAAAAAACTCCACCTAGAATTCTAGATCCATATATAAAAGATTCTCAAGTAGAAAGACAATATTAAGACATATTTAAATCAACAAAACTGAGAATTTGTCACCAGAATACCCACACCACTTAAAAATGATAAAATTATTTAGACTAAAGGAAAAAACTTGGAACTGTTTTTTAAATGAAGAGTACCTGAATTATTAAATAGTAGACAAATATGAAACACTCATTTTTTCCTCTGTCTTAATTTTTTATAAAATTTACTGTTAAAAACCAAAGAAGAGTCAGGGATGTAGCTAAGCAGTACAGTGACTTAACTGGCAAGTGTAAGGCCATGAATTTGATTCCTAGTACCATAAAACAAGGGAAAAAAGGGTAAAAATAAAAACAATGTATTCTGCGGTTTATAGAATGTAAAGTAAATTGCATGGTGACAACAGCATAAAATGGGAAAGAGTAAACAGAGATATACAAACCTTTTGTAATAATCATGAAAGTAATATTAATTCAAAGCAACTGTAATATTAAAATTTAATACTGTGATAAAACTATAAAGCAAATCATAAAAGTATACCTTAGAAATCATCAGAAAACCCAAAATGCTAAAAACTAATTCCATTTAACTGAAAAGGAAGAACTAAACTAGAAGTTCCACTTGACCTAGCTTATAGGTATTTTCCCAAGAGTACAGAGATACACGCATACCCATGTTAACAACAGCACAATTTTGGCCGTGCTGGGACTGGGAGGATCCAACAAGAAGCCAACGAACCAGCCTTTCTGGTAAGCCGGGCAAGCCTTGTGGTTTTCAGGAAGAAAAAACTCAGCACCTCCCGTGAACCTACCAGTGCGAGGGGTGAGAATCAAAGCCCCACCACCACAAGCAACCTGCTGGTTCAGAGCACAGGTTGAGTTGACAGCAACTAAGGTACATAAAGAAACTAAATGCTTGTATTGTTTGGTTGATTTTGCAGGTCTGGGAGCAGCAGTCTCAGCATCTCTTGGGAGGATGACAGGATGCAAGATAGCAAACATTGGGGATTTCTCGTCTTGTCTTTGAAATCCAATATTGTTCTCACTGTTTTGGTTTTGGTTTGTTCTAATTGTTTTTTTTTTTTTTTTTTTTTTTTTTTTTTTTATTTTTATTTAAGGAGAAAAGAAAAGATAAGAAAAACAGTGAAGGGTACAAGTTATACAGATTTACAGAAGAAAAAAATGCGCAGTAGGAAATCACTAGTTAATAGATTACATATTGCCATCTTAGAAATAATTGTTCAAGTCACAGAATTAAAGTTTGTAGAGTGGACATTCCAGCAATGATACTGCAAACAGTTCTGTTCAATGATCCATTAGAACTCTGTGATATCATTTTCTGTCTTATACATTTAAATATACATGCAGTTATATAGTTTAGAGCATTTTCTTTTCCTCTCTTTTGTACAGTGACTATTACACCTTTTGGGTTTCATTGCTCCCACTGTTCTTATTGCTTTTTTGGAAGAGAGTAAAACCAAATGTGACATAACAGAACAGAATCGGTCAAGTCAAAAGGGTGGATATAATAGATAATATAAAAACATAATACAAGGTGATCAACAATGGTTACCCTAATGCCTCCCGCTATTTCTAATAGAATTGCCTATATCATTAGTTGTAATACTATTGAACAAAACCATAAAGGATAAAACCGACAAAACCAAAACATTGGAGATATTGTAGGTCTTCAAAAGTAGATAGAAGTCAACGAGAATGGGCGTTATAATGAATCTCATTATCTTCTCAGCTGATGCCTAAACTTTCGAACCTGATACTATTCAGCAAAACAGAATAGAGGAACCTCAGTCAAAAACAAGATGGTGAGAGTAATACAGGGCTTCAAATCGAGAAAATAGAAAGTCAAAGTGGGTTACTATATTATATCCTGCTATATTTTTCCCTTTAATTAAATGGATAACAATAAAAAAGTATATAATGGAGTGGAGATTGAGAAAAAGAAAAAGAGGGCATAACAGCGAAACAGGGCAGATCAAGACATAACCTTTTAAGCAGAATAGTGTTTCACCACCAGATATTTCCGACTTAAAAATAGTTACCATATTGACTCCCTCCCTGAAGTCCTTGAGTACAACTTCATATACTGTAGCATTAAGTATATCAAAACAATGTAAAACCATTTAAGAGAATGACAGCATTATAGAGTATTTGGAATTGACTAACAGAAAATGAACAATGGTCTCTGTATAATCTCCTTGTCTTTAAAAGGTTTTTGCTTATACTAACATACATAACAAAATCCAATAAGATACAACCTGGTTAGACCATTGGAGACAGAAGAACAAAAGCTAGATGAGACTTCAAAACAAGATGGTACTGAATCAGCATTACCTATTAAGATGTCATTTTCTCAAAAATAGCTGTTCCTATCATCCAATCTTCTCTGTCTCATTTCTGTTGAGCTCTTTTTCTGTCAGTAGCTGTCAGTTTGTCTTCTTCATTTTGTTCTCTGCTCCATTCGTTGTGGCCTCCCTGCCACTATTTCTGGGTTCTTTGTATTTTTCTTTTTTTAGAATATCCTGCAATACTTTCTGTAGAGTTGAATTGGTGGTTGCAAATTCCCCCAGTTCCTCTTTATCCTGGAAGCACCTCGTTTTTCCATCAATTTCCAGGGACAGTTGTGCAGGATATCTCAATCTTGGCTGGAGATTATTATCTTTCAAAGCTTGAATTATTTCCCCCCATGCTCTTCGTGATTTGATGGTTTGTGAAGAGAAATCTGCTGTAATTCTGATGGGTGTTCCTTTGTAAGTGATCTGTTTCTTGTCTCTTACAGCTTTTAATATTCTGTTCTTGTATTGAATTTCTGGGATTTTTATTATTATATGCCTGGGTGTTTCTCTGTTAGGGTTGTAGGTAGCTGGGGTCCTGTATGCCTCATACAACTGAGTATCTTTACCTTTTGCTAAATTAGGAAAATTCTCCTGGATTATTTCTGTGAGTAGCTTTTGTAATTCACTTGTTTGTGTCCCTACTTCTTCTTCTATGTTCTTAATCCTTAAGTGGTGGCTCCTCTTATCATCTTCTTGTCTTTGTATTATTGCTGTTTGTTTCTTTGTTATTTTTAAGAAGTTTTTCATTTCATTCTCCCATATTTCAAGTCTGCCCTCCAGTTCAGATAGTCTGTCCTTAGTTTCTTTCAAGCTGTTATGCCAGTCTTGTATAGACTTATTAATTTCTTGATAGTCCCTTTGAACCTGCTTCACATACTCAATGCTTTCTCTGTTTTCTCCATCAAGCAATTCTCCCCTCTTTTTCTGTTCTTCCATTCCACCATCTGTTTTTTCCTGGGTGGTGTTTAGCATTTCTCTAACTATTCTGCATACTTCTAGCTTCAGATCATTGATAACTTCATTCCTGAATTGGTCTATGAGGCTCTCAATATGGTGCTTAATGTATACTGGTGCGGCATCCATTATTGCC